TCACACAAAGAATGTCTGTAACCTAAATTGGTCATCAATACCCCGGGCAGTGACCCCATTCAGAAGCATATTGAGTGATGGTGATGTATACACCCTGTTTACTGACCGTGACCAGCTGACCTCAAATCCAGTGTCATGACATCTTGTGTGTTTTCAGTCAAGTACGTTTCTACTGGAGGTTATAGAAAAGAATCACCTACGTGTCCGTATCCATGCAGGACATATTTACTTGATTGCAGGGACTTTGTGGTCACAAGAACATTCAGTTATTCTGATAGTTGCTCATATGTTTATAGAATTTATACATAAAAATGTTATTATGTTGTCATAAATTTGACATCTTCACACACAAAAATTGTGATTAATATTGAACATGCTTAACCATGCTAACAGATCATGTAATTTTCATACTATTTTCCAAGGTTTAATAATTTGTTGTTGCCTGTTGAAGTTGTACTTGAATAATATTCCACACAAAAATGTTGATATTTTGTCACTACCAATGGTAAAGGTCATGTAACTTACAAAGTCTTAAATAGTTACTATTATTAGACATGTAGGAATAGAACAAACATACTAACTAATGTTAATGCTTTCAGGCTGACAAAAAGAATAATTTAATTATTATTAACAAAATATAAGGAGTTAAACATACAAGTATATACAAGTAACATTAGACACAAATAAATTATTAATAATCATGATTTAATTATAATAAAAAAACTCACATAATATATACTGTCAACATGCAAAACCAAAATGAGCATATATTATAACAATATAGCCAGTGATTACGTTTCAATCCGCTATGCACTATCAGCATGATCATGATGATCAGTAAGTTTAATATTTCCTATCCCAGATAAAATCTTTCTCGTCATATCACTCTGTATGTAAGATAGCTACGCGATAAATCACCAAGAACAATGAGGAACAAAGCATGGTTTATTTCACAATAAAACATTGTTATATCATGACGTCATTTCTGGAGATTCAAACATGTGCTCGTAACTTAATGACGTTTTTTGGACAATGCTATTTTTGAGAGGGGAGTGTCTAGCAAGTTGTTGCCCATAGGTGTAGCCGGGTAATGCAGATAAACGTGATGGCTGTGCCCCTCATGGTTTATTTTCCCTGCAGTGTACGACAACAACTCCCACTGGTCGTTTATTTCTTAAATATATGGTACATGTACATGAACATGTTGGCATCTATGCCAGTGAATGCTGACATACCCTGGATAATAGGTGAAATTGGGTTTTAACATTGCGTTCAAGATTATTGCACTTATATAGCGATGTGCATGCACATGTATGTGTGTGTGTGTGTGTGTGTGTGTGTATGGCTGCTTGTACTAGTCCGGACTGATACCGATTTATAATGCTAGGCCACTGAGATACCATGCTGCAGTTTAACATGAATACCCCACTCAGACACAGTATACTGACTCCGAGCCGACCAGTCCTTGTTTTAGCCCCTTAATGCCGCGCGCTAGACAGGGTAACAACAAGTACCATCTTTTAACGTATTTTGGTATGACGCGGCCAGGGATCGAACCCTGAACCTTCCGCACCTCGGTGGGACGCTCTACCACCAGATCACAGAGGCAGTCCCTGGATAATAGACTCACGAGATACACAAACCTTTCCTTAATGATAACCGTGCTCTGGATATGATCACAGACAACGATCATGACCTAAAATCATGACACTACAGATACTGAAATGATGCAATAGTGTGCAGCTGCTCTTACCTTGACATGGGCTCAGAGGTCATTGGAGTAATTGGTGAAATAAAATCCATAAGTTTTATTTCACATTAAATTCTCATCTCCCCTTCAGCAAAATATTTATCATGTTCATCCAACTATGTTTTCATGCATTGTTTACAGCATCACTCACACTATCAAACAGGGTTAGAAATTAATTTGTTTTTTCACTAGTCAGCAAGAACAAACAGCTACAGAGACGCCATCTCCCTAATGGAAAAGGTGGTAGTGGTCCTGCCTCACTTTGTCTAGTCTGTACTAGCATACCTTTGTCAATTTCAAACCCTGTCAAACAACAAGGGTGTTATTGACAGATCAATAATAGCTACAATGTGTTTTCCACAACATTAAAATACACAAACTTGGAAAATAAATAATACGAATATTACACCTCAAATATACTCATACAGTTGACCAACTAATTTGTTTTTTACCTCTGTCTTAGGATTATGACAAACATAGAAGATAAAACATGACAATTACCAGGATTAATGAAAGCCCAAAGAGAGTTTGAAATATACCCCAGTACTGTATCACCTAGTGTTGGCACGATACACCAACTGTGCGATCCAGTACGTATCACGATACCTTACTCACGAACTGATATGTACCACGATACTTGCATGTGCTCTTATCTGTGGTGCGTAAGCCATCTTTTTCATAGACAGGATGGCCAAATACCTAGCACACTGATGATTTACAGTTGGCAGTATGTATGGCACAACAAATGAAAATATTTATGTTTTCACTTTTAGATTTCACTACTGATTAGTGTTTAGTGGAACATTCAGTAAATCAAACATTTAAGGTCAGAATCGACATCTTTAACTCAGTGTGTAACTGTGACCGATACTTGTATCGAGAAGTAAAAAATTGAGATCCGCCGATGCATCGATGTATCATCCCACCACTAGTATCGCCCCTATCATTAATCAAATGATCGCTTTATTTTTCAGTCAGTGTATTGATACTGAAATTTCAAATCAATACAAGCTTAACAAATTTGCAAAACGTCATAATAATCAAGCAGATGTGGAGGAAACATTCCTACATTTTCAGTTATCTCTTTCCATTGCTCTTCCCACAAACATGAAAACATGTCATCTCATTTCCATCATAAAGCCACAGAAGCGAGTGACCTAGTTTATGCTAGAAAAGAACATTCAACTGCTCACACCCTCTCAACATAGATGTACATACCTACATGAGCAACTGGGATTGTCATTGTATATCAGAGGTATTAGACAACTGCACCTTCTGTCAACATTACTTCATATTCTATTGAAGAAGAGTAGCCTGTGGGTGTTTAAGGTGCATATTTACCAAAGCTTCTACAACAACAAGTTTAACAGATAGTAATAAAACCAACAAAAGCATTAGGATGGATTTAAGATTGGCAACTATATTAACTGTTCACCAGGTCTCTAAAAAATTATATTAGGGTTGCAATGAAGGCTAGTCTTACCCACTAGATAAAAAAATAGATACACAGAAGATGGTCTTAGACCATAATGTGCACTACCGCCATGTTAGATACAGTGTGCCTCAACCACGTAAACTTAGCCAAATATGAATATGAGACCATTGCTTTTTAATGTTACTACATCTCACAGAGATCAAACACCTGCTCTCTATGAATGAACGAGGAAAAACATGAAGTCCCTGTGACACGGGAACTATATATAGACTCTTATTCTTAACATGGCCCAAACCGACAGTACTTTTTTTAAAAAGCAGAAATCTCTCTTGCAATTCTTTCAATCTTCACAAACCCATTTTGACTTGAAGCTCTTGCCGTTGAGCTGAGATAAAAGCTATGTGTGCATCTGTGGTGAATTCCTGACATTTCCAGCAGGTTCTCAGCGGTAAGTCAAGGCCAGACACACGTGGTCCCACAGCACATTTCCTCCTCTGCTGCAACGCTTACAGCAGTTGAGGCAAACAACTAACATTGTACAATAAGTGTATTAATTATTACAACAAACCTTGCCAGGGCATGTGTGGAAGGGATGTGTGGGATCATGTGTGTAAAATTACATAATGTGACAGTCTGTCTGGTAGATCACTTGGTTTGAGCTATGCCAGATCCTAAGCATGAAACTGTGAAAGAGTATTAGGTCATAATACTATTACCATGATTACTAAACTGATTAGATCATTCATTTAAGCTTACCATAATACTCACTAATGGAAAATATGACAGGCGCATTTTGATTTCACATGATGAAAATGTCAGCAGGGTCGTCACAAAATCTAGTTTTAATGTCAAAAGAAACTAATTGGAAAGTAATGCTTACAGAAAATACTATTTCATTATCATGATTATAAAGAGATAATAAACATAATATTGATAAACTGGCAGCATGGAGTGCAGCAGTAGAAACTAATATTTTTAGTCCACTAGTTCTCATAACATACAGCAAGACCCTTAAAAATGGCAAATGTCTACAAGTTCTTACAATACCTTAATGTGGGGCTGTTTGGCAAGGACTACAGGACTAGTGCCAATTTCTAGTGTCAGTATTGTGGTCAAACTGTCAGCACATCACAGGTTCACATAACACATGACATTGCAGCAGAATCATGCATTACAATGATTACCATGATGGAAATTTATCTATGTGTTCTGAAGTTAAATGTATGATAAACAATGAGCAAATTGCATCTGAAAAACAACCATGCTATTCCACCATGTGAATACATAAGCTGTATCTATATATCCGGGTTTATATCTAGCGTCTATGGTGAGAAGAACATAAGCAAAGGTCAGACCATTTTGTGTTTAAACATCCATGCTATTCAAGTACAGATACACTTGAATTCTATCCATCCTGCCATTTTATCAACAATTGTTTATTATTGATCTGCAACAGACTGCGTGCAACCAGTTGGGCTGCCATTTGCAATTTCCTTGGCAAATCAATACCATAATCAATCTACAGACTTTATACACATTCATCTTGTGTACAACACAGAGTCACTGCACTAAGTGAAGACAAACCAGTAAAATATATAACCGGTACAAATCTCTTCTCATTATGCATAAAAATGATGAAGAATTGTGAAGTCACCTGGAGGTGTATTTATTATGATAAACATATATGCATTAACATCAGTGTTGTGAGCATTACGTCACAGTACAGAATAAACTGTCCAAGGATTGTCTTTGGTGAGTGACAGTTATCCTAATGTATTTAGTACACAACATATATTCACTGATAGATGTACTCACGGATACAGCTATGGAGTCGTCTGTTGGAAATTTCAAGACGAATTTGCTCCCAGCCTTCTCCTCTGCCGAGTTCAAGGGTCGTACTCGGCAAACAACTTTGATTGTTTCGTCTGCAGCCATTTTTATCTCCTTTCTGGAATAACTAGGGATACAAGAGAATGTTCGTAAATCCCTTCTTAACTATTATGACAACTATCAAAGTGAGAATAAATTATTCGTTTCGTGTTGGCGACCAACTGGATCTCTCTGATTCATTGATCATTTTGCGGGACGGAATGCCGATGGTAAAATACAGAGCCGTCTGGGTAATATCCGAACTGAATTATACCAGGCAATTCGAGAAATACCTCTGACAACTGTCACGTGTGTTTGTAAATCGTCCCGGAGCAGAACAATTGGTCAAATCATCCTCAAAGTACTGTATCACATCATCATCTTCAACACAGTCGCCATGTTTCCAAAGAATGCTGGGAGGATGACGTCATGGAATGACCTCTCGTGACCTCTTTATCGACGCACCTGTCAAAAAGAATGAAATGGCGCTTAATTTGAGCAGTTAACGTGATCCTTGTTACGATTTTAACGACAGGATCAATTTGAACAGTAAACTGCCTTTTTAATGCAAGTTATTTTCAATAGAAACATTTCAAACCGTGTCGACATCAGTAACATATAATGTTCGGCATAGCAGAATACATGTTCATTAAAAACTATTTTTGTTTGTGTAGGCCTACAGCTGAGATTTCCTGTGCTCGAAGATAAATTTATATATTTTGCTGTATAATAGTCATAATTCAACATAATGTGAATAAGAGAAACAACCTTACTAGACTTGCCTGTAGCACCAACATCACACATTGATGTAAACGGCCGGATAAAAAGTCAGGAGAGACACACCAAAACGACAAAAGGGACACACTCAAACGACAAAAGGGACATACCCAAACGACAAAAGGGACACACCCAAACGACAAAAGGGACATACCCAAACGACAAAAGGGACACACCCAAACGACAAAAGGGACACACCCAAACGACAAAAGGGACATACAAAAACGACAAAAGGGACATACCCAAACGACAAAAGGGACACACTCAAACGACAAAAGGGACACACCCAAACGACAAAAGGGACACACCCAAACGACAAAAGGGACATACAAAAACGACAAAAGGGACATACCCAAACGACAAAAGGGACACACTCAAACGGCAAAAGGGACATACCCAAACGACAAAAGGGACATACAAAAACGACAAAAGGGACATACCCAAACGACAAAAGGGACACACCCAAACGACAAAAGGGACACACCCAGGTACTAACCCAAACGACAAAAGGGACACACCCAAACGACAAAAGGGACATACCCAAACGACAAAAGGGACATACCCAAACGACAAAAGGGACATACCCAAACGACAAAAGGGACACACCCAAACGGCAAAAGGGACATACAAAAACGACAAAAGGGACATACCCAAACGACAAAAGGGACACACCCAAACGGCAAAAGGGACACACCCAAACGACACAAGGGACATACAAAAACGACAAAAGGGACATACCCAAACGACAAAAGGGACACACCCAAACGACAAAAGGGACATACCCAAACGACAAAAGGGACACACCCAAACGACAAAAGGGACACACCCAGGGACTAACCCAAACGACAAAAGGGACACACCCAGGTACTAACCCAAACGACAAAAGGGACACACCCAAACGACAAAAGGGACATACCCAAACGACAAAAGGGACATACCCAAACGACAAAAGGGACATACCCAAACGACAAAAGGGACACACCCAAACGGCAAAAGGGACATACAAAAACGACAAAAGGGACATACCCAAACGACAAAAGGGACACACCCAAACGGCAAAAGGGACACACCCAAACGACACAAGGGACATACAAAAACGACAAAAGGGACATACCCAAACGACAAAAGGGACACACCCAAACGACAAAAGGGACATACCCAAACGACAAAAGGGACACACCCAAACGACAAAAGGGACACACCCAGGGACTAACCCAAACGACAAAAGGGACACACCCAAACGACAAAAGGGACATAGCAAAACGACAAAAGGGACATAGCAAAACGACAAAAGGGACACACCCAAACGACAAAAGGGACATAGCAAAACGACAAAAGGGAAACACCAAAACGACAAAAGGGACACACCCAAACGACAAAAAGGACACACCCAAACAGCAAAAGGGACACACCAAAACAGCAAAAGGGACACAAATCGAAAATTGCGACATTATAAATATAAACCTATACAGTTTGTATGCTTATATCTTTATTCTTTTCGTAACACATACCTTGAACAGTTTATATGCATCACAGCACCACAAAGCATACATTTGCTCCATCAAACAGCTGCACAATCAGAGCTCTGTTCCACTTGTCGCACAGAGAACATGTATTCTGAATGGCAAAATACCCGTGGATCGATGCTCATGATATCAATCACTGGATTGTCTGGCCCAGACTCGATTATTTACAGACCGCCGTCATATAGCTGGAATATTGCTGAGTGCGGCGTTAAACAACAAACAAACTAACCAACTGAATGGCAAAGAAAGTATACCGAGTTTGTTTTGTTGTAATTGAAAATTGAAAGAATAAAGAACTGTCGTTAAAGTTGATTATGTCTTTTTAACCACCACTCACTCCTGCAACAGTTTGTTAAACGTTATCTGTGGCTGGGTAACTTTGAGTTAAATTAAATTTTTTCAATAAAGACTAGGGAAGGACATTCATCTGCAATCAAATTAAATGTTGTACATTTGTGCCGAAAATACAAATTTATTGATTTTCAAAGATAAAAGATCTAAGATATCCAGCAGCAGTTGTGTATTATTCGATTTGTTTAAAAAAAATAAAGTTTTAAATCAAATTACATTTAAACCAACAAAACCATGGAGAAGTCCTCTTTGAGTGTTGACTAAGCACTACTGCAGTTCATATTTATTTTGTACTTGCATGCCTGGGTGTGTGTGTCTGTGTGTGTGTGCGTGTGTGTGTGTGTGCGTGTGTGTGTGTGTGTGTGTGTGTGTGTGTGTGTGTGTGTGTGTGTGTGTGTGTGTGCGCGCGCGCGTGTGTGCCTGTGTGTGTGTGTGTGTGTGCGTGTGCGTGTGCGTGTGCATGTGTGTGAAATAAATAAACCCCTGCCTTGAACAAACGTCAGATCAACAGACGCAATGAAATAAATAAATCCCTGCCTTGAACAAACGTCAGATCAACAGACGCAGTGAAATAAATAAACCCCTGCCTTGAACAAACGTCAGATCAACAGACGCAGTGAAATAAATAAATAAACCCCTGCCTTGAACAAACGTAAATTTTGTGTATGTCCAGCGGTAGAAACAAACATTTGTAGTCCACTAGTCCAAATAATGATAACATGTAGCAAACCTTCAAAAATGACAGTTTTCTACCAGTCCTTACGACACCTTAGGGGTGGTAGGGTAGCCTTGTGGTTAAAACGAAGATATGGGTTCGATTCCCCACATGGGTACAATGGGTGAAACCCATTTCGGGTGTCCCCCGCCGTGTTATTGCTGGAATAGTGCTGAAGGCGGCGTAAAACCATACTCACTCACTCATTGAAGAGTCAGTGCACAAGTTAAGACAAATGGCAATATAAATGTATTCATTTTTTTTTATAAATAATGATACAGTCGACTAATATGGATCGGGTAGTCGGCTCAGTGATTTTGCTGACTGTGTTTCAGTCTGCGAAGATGGCTTTGGTCGCCGTTCATGGTTTCAGTCACTGGTGTCTCAGGTCTATATTTAATTATTCACAGGCCGCCGTAAACCAGCTGAAATATTGCAGGCCTAAAGCAAACATTCATGCCGTCAGCATAAGGGCTTCCTGTCTTTAAGCCGGGGCCTAACAACGGAAAATAGCCTTTCTCATTTAAATATGTTATCCGAAACTAAGCCCAGGGCTTAATTTCGGAAGCGTTTACGCTTTCTTACCCAAATAGGGAACGCCTTGCGTTGAATAAAAATTATAAACTTTTAAGTTGTTTTAACTGAGAAAATATAAACTTGAATTTTAACTTTGAACCGGAAATATCTTCATAGAATGAAAACCTTGAACTTGTACTTACTACACATTAAGATTTGCCTCTTGTAGAGCATCGCAAAGTATTAACTTTCAAAGTATGTAAATAATTCATTTAAGGAAGATCACGTCAGAATATATACCATAATGTAAATACATGGGTCTAAATACGGAATTACTTCCGTTTTAGGCCCTTGAGCGTTATTACGCGTGGGCCGAAATACGGGACGTCAGGTAATACGACAATAAGGACAGTTGACGAAACGCAGTTCATATTTTACGTTCGCTTCATGCAGCTCAGAATCACTATTGGGCATGGATTAGGCAAATGATGTGCTCTGATTTCACTGCAACGAATAAAGCCGAAGGCTATCTCCAAAGTTCTACTTAAGATACATTCACATATACACTAGTGCAGGTGTTGGTATGGGTTTAATGCGCATTGAACACCATTCGGCTGATTCACGGCCTTTCGTCTTAATGTAGGGGAGGTGACACCAGGCCCATGAAGATCAGTGTTGGAATAGGCCTTCAGCAAATCATGTAAAGAGGCGACTAAGGGGATCGGGTAGTCAGGCTCGCTGAATTGGTTGATGCATGACATGGATCCCAATTGCGTAAATAGATGCTCATGTTGTTAATCACTGGATTGTCTGGTCCAGACTCGATTATTTACAGACCGCCGTCATATAGCTGGAATATTGCTGAGTGCGGCGTTAAACAACAAACAAACACCTTCATGGAGTGAGGGTCATACAATTTGGCCCTCACTCTACGAAGGTTCATACTCCAATGAACTCACACAAAGTGAAGTCAATTCTTAAATATACATAGGTCATCATTGGCGATATAAAATCCTCCAGTATTTCACCTTTATTGTTAGTGTTTCTACTACTCCAGAATGGGTTGTGGCTATTTCAATCACCCGTGAGTACACGTGGTTTGGGGAGTTGATCGTTAAGAACTTGAATATTAGAAAGCTGAAGAGCTGACGAAGCACAGTGAGCACAGAGGAAAAGCAACGTGCAATGTAAGTTGCACTGAAACGGCTTGGAGATTGGTTTTAAGTATAACAGGGCTGTGGATAACATCCTGCTTTAAAATTGATGCTCCCCCAGTGGCCCTGTCACCTGGAGGGGAAAAAGAATTTCAGCCAATGAACTGACGTAAGTTAAAATGATATGTCTGGTTTAGATAAGTTTCCTGTAGACTACGGTGGCCCGTAAGGGACATGGAGTCTGTTTTTCAATATTTTGATGTTTCACTTACTTTTATCGTAATCTTTTGCAAATTAACACAATTTATCATACAAATATGTGATAAATCATATATAAAAACAACCGAAAACATGGAAAATGTACTTTCAAGTAGCTATTGAG